TATATGAGTGCTTATAAACTTGATCTTTCGGAAAAAGCTGCTGTTTATGCAGTAAAAAAAATATAGTTCTCATTATAGAATTTCAAAAAGTGTTTTAAACGAAATTTCTTTTTAAAATTAGATAATTTTATAACTAATTATATGATTTATTTGCCACAGTATTAATAATTATAATTAGTTACATAATTTACTTGCTACAATATCATTAATCATTTATCATTTATTTTTATTTATTATTATTTTTTTTTTAATTCCACAATCAGGTTGGTGTCATTTATTTATTAAATTATAAAAAATCATTATACACACGAGAATACATGCAAAGTACAAATTTTCCCGATCCAACTCACCTGTTTTTAGTTGAAGTCTCTAGATATGATTTATGGAAGTAATATATTGTTTCCCTAAAGGATAGGATTAAAATTCTGAACTTCCGATAGGATTAGCACCTGCAGATTACCTCCACAGTCACAACCATAAATCCAAATTATGTTACCCCTCTCTTGTAGAAACTACGCAAGAGGAAAAAGGAATAAAAAAAGAATTTTTGATAAAGAAAAAAGAAAAAAAAAAGCTATCATCTATTCTAATTATCATTGAAAAAGTTATCTTGGTGAACTTAAAATCCAAGCCTCTCGTGGTTTCCCACTTCTCATCACCTGTGGCCAGACAAACTGTTTAATTTCCAATGGAGTAGTCAATGTTCAAGAATATTTAAGGGCACTTCCAAGAAAGTATTTCTTGAAACTTTACACTTGAAGACTTCTAACCAGAAATGATGTTAGTTTTCTATTGTTAATTTCTCTTTCAAGCTATGTCTTCTGGAATTATAGCTTTATTCAATCAGTGGATAGTTTCAAGATCCCTTTCTCCAACTATTTTCAGAATAGATATTGGTACTTCAACTTGTTACCAGATTGGGATAGGATCTAGACCTTGTTGCTACTTCCTGTTCTCAAAAAAGAATAGGGAAGAAAAAAAGAAAAGATAAAAGGATAGGAACAAAAGAGGTCACTCATATTCTTTTCACAACTTCAACTTGAAACTGTTCAACTCTTTTAGAAACTAATCACATCATTGGTTAGGTGTTGCATAACTGGGAACACGTGAGGAGTATGTGTCTTGTTTACTTTTTCTGTGGCTAATGTGATCAACTAATCTGTGACCTTGCCAATCATCTTTCAGGAAATCTGGTGTGACCAAAAAATTCAGGATCAAACTGAAGTAGTCAAAATTCCCTAGAAAAAAGGAAGCACGCTTAAGAAAAAAGAAGTGGGAAGGCAAAAAGATGGTGGAAAGATTGAAAACTTCTTTATTCTTGTTTCTCTAGATTCTTGAATCTTTTGGAGATCTTTGGAGGATATTTTTTCTTATCAGTTTTCTTCCTATAAAGGTGTTCTTGCCATAGATCTTTTAGATAGGTTTCTTGTATTTAGTCACAAAAATAAGCAAGAAAAGTTTTTGAAAAAAAAAATAAAACAAGTGGTGACTTCTGCTCACTCGGCTGGTTAAAACCAGTATTGTTTTTAAGGAAAGTGTATAGACTTTATTATCATAAAGACAAAAAATCTTTTGAGAACGTCTGTTTTTTAGGTTGGCAAAAGGATCAGCGAAAAGAGTTTGAGCTTTTTTTTTTAGTGAGGGAGTTACTTTCTTCCTATAGAAGAAGGTGCAGAATCATTTTATCGCCAGGTATTTTTATGGCCATCTCTGATATGTCTGGTAGTTAGGTAACTAACGCTTACCAGAATGATCATATCAGTCCCACTTCTAAAATGTCAATACTACTATGAGATTTGATCCCATAATTTTTCTTAACACTCTGGGCCTCCTATGGAAGACAGTTCCTCGTGTTTTTATGATAAATCTAAATCCAAGTTGTCACTAGTCAGGGACTATCTAATAACAAGTTTCTTGTCTATATTTTATATTGGCCCTTATAGATGATGGTGTTATGGTAGTCAGGCAATTGACGCTTACTACAATGACTCCTGTGAATTGGTCCAACAGACATGTACTGCCGTTACCTGATATTAAACTCACAACCTTCTTATAGAGGTACTAGTTCTTATATCAGTACACTAAGTTTCCATAGGAACTTTTTTTAGTGAGGGAGTTACTTTCTTCCTATGGAAGAAGATGCGGAATCGTTTTATCACCAGATATTTTTATAGCTACCTCTGATATGCCTGATAGTTAGGCAACTAATGCTTATCAGAATAATCATATCAGCCTCACTTCTAAAGTGTCAGTACTACTATAAGATTCGACCTCATAATTTTTCTTAACACCCTGGGCCTCCTATGAAAGACAGTTCCTTATGTTTTTATGATAGATCTGAATCCAGGTTGTTACTGGTCAGAGACTATTTAATAACAAGTTTCTTGTCTATATTTTATATTGGCTCTTATAAATGACGGTGTTATGGTAGTCAGGCAATTGATGCTTACCACAACAACTCTGTGAATTGATCCAACAGGCATATACTGCTGTCACCCAGTATTGAACTCGCAACCTCCTTATAGAGATACTAGTTCTTATACCAGTATGCTAAGTTCCTATAGGAACTTTTTTTTAGTGAGGGAGTTACTTTCTTCTTATGAAAAAAGGTGTGAAATCATTTTACCACCAGGTATTTTTATGGCCACCTCTGATATGCCTGATAGTTAGGTAATTAACGCTTACTAGAATGATCATATCAGCCTCACTTATAAAATATCAATATTACTATGAGATTTGACCCCATAATTTTTCTCAACATCCTGGGCCTCCTATGGAAGACAGTTCCTCGTGTTTTTATGATAGATCTGAATCCAGATTGTCACTGATCAGTGACTATCTAATAATAAGTTTCTTGTCTATATTTTATATTGGCCTTTATAGATGACGGTATTATGGTAGTCAGGCAACTGACGCTTACCACAACGACTCCTGTGAATTGGTCCAACAGGCATGTACTGCCATCACCCAATATTGAACTCGCAACCTTCTTACAGAGGTACTAGTCCTTATACCAGTACGTTAAGTTCCTATAGGAACAAAATTTTTTTAAATAATTACAAATTTTAAATATAAATTTAAATATAAATTCTATTTGAAAAATAAGTTTTTATTATAATAAATTTTTCAAAAAAAATTATTAACTTATAAAAAAATTATTATTATATTTAAATAACAATATTAAAATTTTTAAATCCTTTATAAATTTGATTTTAATATAAAATTTTAATTAAATTATTATATATAACAAAAATTTTTTAATATTTAATAGTAAAATTATAAAAAAATCAATTTATTATAAAAATATATTCTTCTTTAACAAATTTATCTATTGAGATAATTTTAATAATTTTTTATTGATAATTTTTTTTTAATGAATTTAAATTAATTAATTTTTTTGAAAAAAAATTTTTTAAATTAAAATTCAATATTTTGATAATATATTTAAAATAATTCATTAACTTATTCTTTATGTTTTCAAATATATGTATATACAGTATATAAATTTTCATAATATTCTATTTATTAACTATTAAATTTTAAGTAAAATTAGAAATACAGTATAATTTATTCCGGTTTTTTTTGGATCAGACGGTATATAAATTATAATTTTTTCGAACTTACTGTTAAACTTCATCAGAAAAGAAATCCAATGTTCGAGAATGGTCTTACGTCAAAGGGAATTTTTGATTTCAAGGTTTAATTAAATTCATTAGCTTAAAACAATTCGTTATCATGACCAACAAGAAAAAGGTATACAGAATATCTGGTAACTAATGGTCATCGTGAATAAAAGTCTATCGAGAATATTCGCGATTAACAAAACTACACGAGATGTGAAATTGTAAGAACGAATCTTGTGTATCCACATAATTTTCAAGCAAAAAACCTGTAAAAAATTAACTAATTTGTATTTATTGGAAAAATTAGGTTATAAGCGTACAAATGTAATCCCAATTCTCAGGCTTCCGTTTATCAACAAGCTTGCATCATTATGAAGGTACTTATGAGAGCTAATTATGAAATCAAGTAAGCCACATCGAATTGTGTAAAATCGCGATCTGCTAAGCCATTCGATCTCTAAAACCAAATCTTTGAAAGAAAAGCCACGAAATATGTATATAAGGCTAAGCCAAGTGAGATTATTGTCTTAATTTAGACATGCAGTAATGATACGATAGCAACATAACCGGAAATTTCATTTTGAACATAATTTAAATGCGCCTGTACGGAGGCGCTCAGATGTCTAAATTAAAGATGATTTCCGGATCACTCAGCTGGTGTGTGAATGGAATCCGTTGTACTTCGCTTCTATTTGCACGCCATCCGAATAATATGGGAATCTCACTTGGACGCTCCTGTGCTGAGGCATCGACAACTTTATTTCGAAATATTTTCTATTTTCTCCTTTTCTTTTCTATGCTCATTTTTTGGGGGATGGTTTATACATAATCGACAATTGAAGATTTATAATCGTCCCTATTTATCATAATGTATTATTTTTGATACAGTATTATGTAACGATCGTAACTCATCTAAGTGTTTCCTATTGTAGTTCTTTTATTATCTTTGCACACTCCTTTTATATGATCAATATGAATTCAGAAAATTGACAAGACACTTATTAAATAGTTTTTATACTTCTTAAAATTAATTTTCGGGTTTACCAACAGGCTCATGTGGCTGGTCTGTTGAGACATTAGAGAAAATAATGGAATACCCATAGTGAATTACCGTGCAGAAAACTTGTAAAAAAATGTTGACAGGCTTTGCTTAGAAATTAAGCTAAGAGGCTTGACAATGAAAGTGTCGCTAATACTTTGGAATGAAATCGAATAAGACTGAACACCAACAAATTCATATCAAAGAAGGAATTCTCATAGAACTTCCTGGTTAACGAAAAAACATGATGATAAACTACCTTAATAACACGAAAACTATTTAAATCCTTCGAAATTTACCCTTCCTAAAAAATTTCTTCGCAGGCACTATGAAATAAGATGAAGTCCACAACGATCCTGTTGGTTGGGCTCATATTATTCATGGCCGCCATACTAGCGGTCTCTCTCCCTTACGACAAACGTTCTGCGGACCCCAATGCTGAACCGGACCCCAACGCTGAACCCTATTACTACTATCATAAATATTACAAGTATGAATCCAAATATCACCACAAGCGTTCCGCTGAACCTGAAGTCGAGCTTCATAAGCGTTTCGCCAAACCCGTGCCATTAGAAGTCGATTAACTTCAAAGGCGTTTCGCTGCACGTCCGAAAGCGAACTTCAATAGTGTTCCGCCGAACCAAGCTGAAGCTGACCAATGCTTTGGCAACTATGATCGAATGAAATTGATCATATCATTTATTTTCTATTTATTAATATTTTTCCAAAAAAACGCGCCAATTTCTATTTATTTTCCGTAATTTCCTATTTTTTTTTTTTAATGAATATTTAATTTTTTAGCATTTTTTTTTTCAAATAATTTGTAGATAACAAAGTCAATTAATGTTCTTGTGTCGTCCCCCTTCTCGTTGACACAAAGCTCTTAGATATGATCCTTTTCTGTAAATACTTTTGAAAAAATATTTTTTCGTACATTTTTTTTTTTTTCCTTTTTCTTTTTTTCTCTTTGTCTCTTTGCGAAATATGCATACAGTTCTATTAGTTGCCTCGTGAATACATGTGAAAATAGTTTTGTCCACCAAACCCCCTTTTGTGAGTAGTCCCCCAATATTTGTTTATAGTCCCTCAAAATGTTCCCAATATTAATGACCCAAATATACTGTATTATAGTTTCTACTTGTCCCATGAATCAAGTTTCTCATAGTAATGACTCCATATATTATATAGTTTTAATATTTTAGTCCCCCACCCAGTCCTCGGCCCCTCTTGTGTAATGAATAATCTTCAATAGTTCTTTTAATAAATTGTTTTCTATATAGTAATGAATTGTTTGAGTTTTTATGAATATAATTCCAAAATTCCCCACTAATTTTTCCAACGCCCCTCCATCCCCTCGACAAATACAATATACACCTTTTTTGTGCCATCAATGTTTCTTAAAAATTTCTTTTTGGTTCTTCTCGGCTCTCTCTTTTTCTCTAATTTTTACTTTTTTTTTCTTTTCTTTTCTGAATTTTTCTCTTTTTTTGGTTTTTTCTCAATGTCTACAATGTCAATTATTTCTGAATAAATTATAAAATCTTTAAAAAAAAAAAGAAGATCGTGAGTATTTCCGTGATTCAACAACAGATACATTTGCATATTGCTGTACGTGCCATAAGACAAGCAAAATGTTATTTCAGGTGATGTAATTTTTGGAACACGAGTTACTCATTACTTGAAGGTGTCGCGGCACCAATACGTGTGAAAATAGGAAATGATAAGATGTCATATGATTAGGTTTTTTTTGCTTACGCGAAAGATTAGTTGACATTACTACTGTATAATTTATTAAAATATTTATATAATTAAAAAAATAATAATCTAATATCTATTACAAGAAATCTTTATAACATTATTTAACAACCAATTAAGTCTGTAACCTCTAAGTAAACAGTGGCGATTGAGTTTTCATATATAATTCTTGGTCTTCTGTTCATTATTTAACTAAATTTCCTCCTTCATCGTAACGTGGTCGGAATTACATGTTCCATCCGAGTATCCCATCTCTAACGATCTATGATGATATTCGAATGCCTTGTCTTCATTCTTTTTAACACCAATTCCATTGAGATAACAATAGCCAACCTGATACGTTCCACCAGAATTTCCCATGTCAGCCGATTTATGATAATATTCGAACGCTTTATGTTCATCCTTCTCTACACCAATTCCATTTTCATAACAATAACCCACGATATATGCACCCATGGTATTACCCATCTCGGCTGATTTTTGATAATACTCGAATGCTTTTCGTTCGTCCCTTTTGATCCCAATTCCTTTATAGTAGCAATGGGCAACATTATACATTCCATTTACGTGACCCATGTTGGCAGATTTTTGGTAATGCTCAAATGCCTTGTGTTCATTTTGTTCTACTCCAATTCCATTAAAGTAACAATAGCCAATATTATATATTCCGAATACATGTCCCGCCTCTGCTGATTTTCGATAATATTCGAATGCCTTACACTCATCCTTTTTAACTCCAATTCCTTCACTATAGCAATATCCAACATTATATATTCCATTTACATTCTCGGCTTCAGCAGACTTTTGATAATATTCAAATGCCTTGCTTTCATCCTTTTCAACTCCGATTCC